TTTCTGTTAAGCTGCACAATAACAAAAAGAACATCAGTAATCAACTGTGATTGCATAAATGCCAGATTGTATAACTCCTTAACAAAAATTCAATTTTTTTTTGGTGAAGACAGCGCACTCAAACTCACATGAATTGTTAATGGCTATGTAAACTTGTATCTTTCTCTTGGAATTGTCCTCAGCAGAAATCAAGCTTTGTCAGAACTTGCAAAATGTTTGTAGCCTCCAACCCCATAGTTTTGATGATGCCATATATCCTTTTTGTTCTGATCTTATCTGATAGGAAACCATTGTAGTCTTCAGCTAAAGCAACCCATCTTCATCCTTCAGGGTTTGACAAGTGTGTTCAGAGGTGATGTTCAGAATGGTTATTAGCTTTGGGCTTCCTGGCTGCTTGACCAAGCTTGACCATTCTCTTTTGACCTTTCTTACTGGATGTTTTTCGCACAATTCACTCGAGATTGTAGAGTATGAAAACCCAGGAGGTCAGAAGTTCCTAACATACTGCATGTACCTCATCTAAAGCCAACATCACTCATCTTCCACATTTTATTTGTTGAACCATTTGTGCATGCTTTATGTATTGCCATAATTTCCACAAGAATGTACCTAATAAAATGCCTGCTGTGCGTTTGTAAATACTGTACATAGCAAAGATACGGCTTAAAAAAAATAATTTTTTTTTGAAGAGTGGACTTTTACATTAGCACAAGAAACCCTGTGTATTTTAGCTACATTGGTGTGCTTCTTACACATTTCTCGCTTCCATGCGCTAAGTGCATTATAGGAGTTCCCACGTTTGAACGAACTTTGCTGTCCTTTGAAGACATCAGAAAGAGATCTGAAATTTCGGGAGTTTGATATTCTGTTAGCCTAAACAAAAACACAACTTTTAATTTTAATTTTTTTAATTTCCATTAAAATGTACTATATTTATTAGCTTCAATTTATAATGTTGAGCGGGCAATATATATTCCAACAGTTTTCTATGCAAACTTCATGTTAATGGTGTTCTACAACACTTTTACCAGCAATGACAATCTAGTATGAAGCGTTTTTACCTTTTTTTAAATGTATTAATAAATTGTGTTCTTCAATACAAACTTTATTATCAAAGTTGATGAAAAAAAAAAAAAATTCCTTCCCAATCTCCAGCTTTTCGCTGTAGATAGTACAGTATATCATGACTTCTACTTTATATTAAAGAGAAATTGAAAAGTGAGTATTAATAATATCAAACATTTGTATCCTCTCTTCAAATTCCAATCCTACAATGTAATGTATATATATTTGTAGAACTACTGATTTCTTCAAAGTCTTCAGAAACTGTGTACATTCTGAAATGTTCAACTTTTCAGCAATTACAGACTGATGCTGGTTTCTAATACTTTCTCCCAATGTTTCTCGCTGTCTGTTCTCCCCTTTTTTCCCAATTTATACTACCAGTACACTTCATAAATTACAATTTTCTGTTAAAAATAGTAAGGGTAAGATATATTATTTCTTGCTGTTGTAATAATGTAAGTACTCCATTACAAAAAATATTTTCCAATTTCTGTGTCCCAAGGGAATATGAAGTGGTGAATTCACTGACCATGTAAAATCCACTAATACATATAGTACATTTTTGTCCCCATTACTAAGCGAAAACACCTACCTGTCCAACCTGCGCCAGATACTTTACTGCTGTTCCTCTGTTCACACTTGGGAGAAACAAAAAAAAAAAAAACCTTACAGTCTGCAGCAGCCTTGACTGTCTCTCGTTTTCTTCTGCAATGGTCTTGCTGTACATGATCTAACTACTAGAGAAATCTAAAGGGACATTGGAACATTTTGGCGTATCTGGTGGAAGTTCCAGTGTATGGTACATCCTGTGCATTTGAGCGCATTTCACTTTTTTTATTTTTGTCAATATTGCTCAACAAGCGTGGTGTGTGGATTGGACACTTTGCAGTGTGAGCACCTTTTGGTTTGGCGCACGTGTGATTTGAACAGTCAAGTGAAACCCAGCATGTGCATCACATGGACTAATTTGGACACAGTTTATGAACTTTTCTTTTTATGTTTTATTACACTACTCCTTGAAAAATCTTCCAAACACCAGAACCAATGTTTTGAAAGGGCGTGTTAAACTGGAACTCCAGCCTATTTTGTTTCGAAAGTGTTAGATCTTGGGTTAGGTCAATTAGGTCTTCACTTGTGTGCTCCATAGGACTGTAAATGACAACAAATCTCATCCAGGTCAATACTTGACATAACTTTTAACCCTTCACACACTCTATCAAAAAGAGAAAAAGACAATTGTTGGTGCACTTTAAAGAGTCAATCCCTCCAAAAGTGATATTTTAGCTACAGTAAAGGTATTGCCTGGGAGGCTGAATCAGGATATGTTTTTTTTTGTTTTTTATATGTCTTGTGTGCTCCAAGCAAGCTTGCTATGGTGAGGTCAGCACTTACTCATCTCCCCAGGGGGCTGCAATGAAAACCTTCTTTGTAGAGTTGGTAAGAATTAGAACTTACGCCTTTTTTTTTCTTTAATATCGTCCATATCATCCTTTCCCAGTGACACCATTAATTATCATTCTGGTGTAACAGTGACACAAAGGGAGGAAAATCTCCTTTATATAGTCACTGAAAAAAAAACTGACAGAAGTTCCGTCTTTCCTACCCTATCCAAGTCTTAAAAAAAGGTTTAGACTTGAACAAAGACAAGACTGTATAAGAACAAAAATATGGAATATCAAACTTATAAAAATGTAATTTTCAAAAGTTACTTTAAAGAAGAATTCTGTGATATACTTTATTAATCCTGAAAATGCTCCATCCCCCATCCTAACACCTATGCTGGCCAACCTGTGTAAGAAAGAGGTGTATACAATGCCTTGAAAAAGTATTCATACCCCTTGAAATTTTCCACATTTTGTCATGTTACAACCAAAAACGTAAATGTATTTTATTGGGATTTTATGTGATAGACCAACACAAAGTGGCACATAATTGTTAAATGGAAGGAAAATGATAAATGGTTTTCAAAATGTTTTACAAAATAACTGAAAAGTGTGGTCTGCATTTGTATTCAGCCCCCTTTACTGTGATACCCCTAACTAAAATCTAGTGGAACCAATTGCCTTTAAAAGTCACTTACTTAGTAAATAGAGTCCACCTGTGTGTAATCTAATCTCATTATAAATACAGCTGTTCTTTGAAGCCCTCAGAGGTTTGTTAAGAGAACATTAGTGAACAAACAGCATCATGAAGGCCAAGGAACACACCAGAAAGGCCAGGGATAAGGTTGTGGAGAAGTTTAAAGCAGGATTAGGTTATAAACAAATATCCCAAGCTTTGAACATATTACGAAGCACTGTTCCATCATCAATTCCCCCAACAATGGGGCACTAATTATCCAACTTACACCAAGAATAGGGTGCTATTCCTCCCATAATGCCAAAGATGCATTGTTGACGCAGGACAATTTCTACTCCCAATGGCCATAGTGTGGCCCCCTAAAGTCTGAGAGCTAGTAAACTGGCCCTTTGTTTAGAAAGTTTGGAGGTGGGAAAATCTGTCCACAGGACAACTAACAGTCATGCACTCCACAAATCTGGCCTTTATGGAAGAGTGGCAAGAAGAAAGTTATTGTTGAAAGAAAGCCATAAGAAGTCCCGTTTGCGGCTTGTGAGAAGCCATGTGGGGCACATAGCAAATATGTGGAAAAAGGTGCTCTGGTCAGATGAGACCAAAATTTAACTTTTTCGCCTAAAGACAAATTGCTATGTGTGGTGGAAAACTAACACTGCACATCATCCTGAACACACCATCCCCACTGTGAAACATGGTGGTGGCAGCATCATGTTGTGGGGAAGACTTTCTTGAGCAGGGACAGGGAAGCTCGTCAGAGTTGATGGGAAGATGGATGAGCCAAATGCCGGGCAATCTTAGAATAAAATCTGCAAAAGACTTGGGACTGAGGTGGAGGTTCACCTTCTAGCAGGACAACGACTCTAAACCTACAGCCAGAGCTACAATGGAATGGTTTAGATCAAAGCATGTTTATGTGTTAGAATAGCCCAGTCAACGTCCAGACCTAAATCCAATTGAGAATCTGGGGCAAGACTTGAAAATTGCTGTTCAAAGACACTCTCCATCCAATCTGTCAGAGCTTGAGCCATTTTGAAAAGAAGAATGGGCAAAAATTTCACTCTCTAGATGTGCAAAGCTAATAGAAACATACCCAAAAAGACTTGCAGCTGTAATTGCAGCAAAAGCTGGTTCTACAAAGTATTGACTGAATACAAATGCACACTACACTTTTCAGATATTTATTTGTAAAAAAATTTGAAAACCATTTTTCATTTTCCTTCCACTTCACAATTATGTGCCACTTTATGTTGGTCTATCACATAAAATATATTTACGTTTTTGGTAGTAACATGACAAAATGTGGAAAATCTCAAGGGGTATTAATACTTTTTCAAAGGCACTGTAAATAAATACCGTATTATATATTTTTGTATATTAAAAAAAACTTCCATTTTGGAAAACATTTCACCAAATCCACACCATTAAAGAAAATTATTTATATAGAATAGAAAATAATGGCAGTTGTTAAAACGAGTCAAGATTTTCTTTATACTACTGTTCGCTGTGATATGTATTTTGTTAATTGTGGCTATCCTTGATATTACAAGTGCTCAAAATATACATATAAAAATATTTTATTTGTCGTCATTTTAAAAAGCAAGATTTCCTTTGCATACGTTTATTCCCTGTGTATAGGGTGTGCTTAGGTCCGTGCTGCTGCAAAGGGTTCCCTAAGGTAGTCCTGGTAATCATGTCCCACATGATTCCACATTCCCCTGTTGCAAGTTGGCAGGTGGCCCGCACAGCGGTACCATGTCTTCTTCAAGAGCACTGAGGCTGACTGCATTCTTGGTTGTCCAAACAAATCCTCAGCATAATCTCTGCTCTTGTTACAGAAGATAGAGAATCCATTTCCCAGCTTAAAAAGTTGGTTTGTTCATGTATTCTTCCATTGTCTGCAAAAATAAAATTACAACATATTACAAAAACTCTGCATTTGTGAAATTTATTTTACACTGCTGTCCTACTATGCAAAACAGTGAAGATCATCAGAACTTTTTCATGTTATTGAATTGCCATTTCACAGCAGTGCTAGCTGTTATTATTTTCCAATTGTTTTAAAGGATAAGTTCACCTTTTGTAACATGTTACACCCATATTCAGGGTGTAACATGTAACAAGCCCTTGTCCCTCTGCTAGCGGTCACAATTGTTTAAAAAGTGGCCATGCAGAGCTCTGCCAGCCCGACCGCGTCACTCATTCCACAGTATTCTGTGAATGGGAAAACTACACGTTCCAACAGCCTTTGTGCTTGACAGTGCAGTGGTAGTAAACTGATTCTTCCTGTCAGTGTGTATCTGCTTTCTTGTATGAGGTACGAGCACACAGATACACTGACAGGTCTGCAGGAGTCTTGCATGGCATGAGCGATCTACTGGTCGCTGGTGCAATGCTTTCCAGACTCCCGAAGCAAAAAACAGTAAATGCACATTTTTTTTTTAACTGCAAAAAAATAAATAAATAAATAAAAATGTGCATTTACTATTTATTGTTTTGGGAGCCTAGAAAGCATTGCACCAGTGTATCTGTGTGCTTGTACAGGCAAGCAGATACACGCTGGCAGGAGGGATCAATGAAATACCACAACACGCAACAGTGCCCTGGTAATTCATTGAGAACTACAAGCTGACAGCTGCAAAAGCTGTCAGAATTGTAATTTTCCCACTGATAGAATACTGAGTGATGTGGCCTGTCACAGTGGGAATTGTGGGGGGACGGGGCGGTCCTTTTGTGACATGTTACAAAAGGTGAACATATTCTTTAAAATGGAGTATTCCCTTTGGGAATTAGCTCCTTAGTCTTGGAGCCCATTGATGCCTCTTGCCAACCAAGGCTTGGTTTATTAATACTCAGGAATCCTAACTGGCAAAAGGCTTGATACCTCTACGTAACTACAACCTAGACTCTTGAGACTAAAGGCAAAGCTGACAAGGACTTTTTTTCCCCACTTATAAAGATATTACTGTCTTCTTGGGTTGGGAGAGTAAATTTTGCTCTAGCTCACAACAAAATGCCAGAGAATGTTTTTCCTGTACGTAGGGATACTTAATATTCAGACAACTCTGAGCAATAAACTAGACAGAGTGCAAACTTCATTGGTTCTCCAGCTTAGGGTTTAGGTTTTGGGCAATGCTTAGTATATATAACTATACTAACTAGTATCTAGAACTAAAACAGGAAAACCTGTTCTATGAACTACCAAGGGACCATTTCAGGTCCAATTCTGTCCCGGTCACTTGAAACTTTTTCCATAACCATAGGACTTAGGGTTGGATTCATTGTCTCATTTCCATTCTATGGCTGCCTAAGGCTAGGTCACTCAGGACTAGGTCATGGACTTTCAGCCCGCTAGGTTTGGATGCATTGGTCCTTACACTTGCATTGGTGCCAATATACAGTATAATAGCTAGCTAAAGCACCTTATAACCTAAGCTCTTAGACCTTCAGCCACCCTTGGGACTTTGTTATTGGGCCATATATGGTTTTCCTGGTCTTTAGGCATGATCTGTACCAAGAGATTCCTTCTGGCCACACAAGAACACAAACCCTGAAATCCAGCAAATCTGAAACAGGAGTAAACTGATAATAGCATCTTATCTTAACTGACAGCATTTTATTAAATCACTCCAAAAACTCCAGAATGACAAGCATGGAAAATGAACAATTTGCAGAGAGTTTCCTCCTATAGACAAAAAAAGATATATGAATTGTGGGTTTTGAAAGCAAGAAACAGCAACTACCAACCAGAAGGTTAATGGGGTTTAATGGATCATAATTAAACAAAAAAAAAAAAAAAACAACTGTTACCTCTTGTAACATGTCAGAATCCTCAATTGCTCTCACCACCAGCTCTTTGGAGGTCTCCTGAATTTCTCCACCCATCAGAAACTCATCCAAAATAAAATATGCTTTCTCAAAATTAAATATTATGTCCAGCTCACAGACCTAGAAAATATTATGTCCAGCTCACAGACCTAGATATAAAATGGGTATTGTATTTAAATTTACAATTTATAAATGATATTGTAGCTCAGCAGTGTATATGAATTTAAATAGGCACTGTAAAACTAAAGGGGAGTATTAAAAAAATATATATATATTTTTTCGCCTCTATGCTGCAGCATTGGAGTGATGCTGCAGCAGTCCCAAATCACATGACTGCTGATTGCTCAGTTTTTTGTCAGTTTGGAGCAGAGAACAGTGACTGCTCTTTGCTCTGCTCCTCCAGCACTCACTGGAGTGCCAGGATGGCTAGAGGGTGTGGGCACAGCTAGCTCCAGCTGTCAGCCTTGCACTGAGAGGCAGAGCCAGCTGTCAATCAGGCAGCTGGGTGGGTCCTAACAATATGGTCAGGATCCTTTCAGAACCTGAAGAAGCTCTGCCATATCAGCTGACAACAGGCAGTAGCTTGCTGTCAGCTGATGCTGGGTCACAGGAGAGCAAGAGTGAGCTCCTGTGGCCCAGTGAAGTATGGCCAGAAAAGGTTTTTCCATGCTTCTCTTTAAGCATATGATGAAATAATGCAAAAGTGGAAGCTACCTTCCGGAGAACCCTATTATAAAACAATTAATAGATGAGGTGATATAGACTTATATGTAAATTTATATAGACTAATACTGTATGCAAATTTCAACTTTTTTGGAAAGTCAAAGTGAATCTGCCCATTCCACATAGCAACAAACAAGAAACATAACTATGACATGGATTAACAGTATGTCAGCACCGACAAACGCAAAGCAGAACGTGATATGAACATTCCAAACAAAAAAAAAAAAAATACAATAACTGAGTTTATAGGCCATATAAACCACAAAACAAAAGAAACTTTTTGTCATATACAGATATCGTGCAAAATCGCAGTACACAAGTATAAGATACTCAGAACCAGTATGGTCAGAATCACCAGTAAAACTCGTATCCTAGCACATCATATCCTAAGGATCCCTCAACAGTAGTAACACTGCACCCACCACAGCAGGATTCTAAACCCCATCCATTCCCATGGACAGAGATGAAAATGTTAAATCACTAGACTCCAGCCACAGCAACCATATTTTCTTAACTTTTTTAGGGCAGTTCCTATGCTTGCAAGCCAACTCCTCCCTTCTCAATGTAGCATTTATAATTTTACGTCACTGACTATAAGTTGGTGGCAAATGGGAAATCCATTTTTGAAGGATTAGTTTATGGGCTTTATACAGAGATCTAATCCATAACAAGTGCATCTCCACAGGAAGGATATCCTCAGAAATGATACCCAATAACGCAACTTTGGGACCAAGTTGAACCTGCATGGAACAGATCGAATTAAGGGTAATAAATATAGAGGACTAGTACTGGTGAAGCTTAGGACAACGCCATAGCATATGAATAAATGTGCCAGTATCTAAGTGACATCTAGAATACAACTGACAATCTAATTTTCCCCAGGAGTAAAGCTTTTGTGGGGTGTAATGCACTCTATGAATTATAAACAGTTGAGTCAGGCTTTGTGATGGAGATAAAGAAACCTGCGAGAGGGACTTCAAAGCCTGAGCCCATTCCTCTTCCTATATTATTTCCAAATCCTGCCGCCACTGTCCTAAACTCTGTATCTGAAAGCGCCATTTCACCTCTTTAACCAGTATATTTACCGTTACCAGTAATTGGTAACCAGGTATCACAGGATCACTATGATTGGTCATAGCAATCACATGATAGCAATAATCAATCTGTCATGAATGGTTTTCCATTCATGAACAGCTTGTTTACTATTGTTATCTGTGACTGGCCCACAGCAATCACATGGTACATGCCTACCTATACCATGTGATTAGCCTAGCCAATCACAGATCAAAATCAAAAGCAAGCTGTTAACCCATTTCTAATAGCAAAAGCTATTGCTAATATAGTGATCTTCAGTGTAAAAAGAAAGAAAGGAAAATCCCTAGTCACTCCCCCAGAGTAGTCCAGTAGCTACTCTGTCGACAGGGTGTAAAGTTAGAAAAAAAATAGGGTTTAAAAAAATTTACTAAAAAAATTATTATTTTTTTTTTTCCACCAGTCAGTATCCCTGATCACCTCAGCACCAGTCACATGATGACGCTGTACTGCACTGGTGACAGTATGTTTAAAGAAAAAAAAAAAAAAAAGTGGAATTCCCTCATTTTCCAAAAAATTGTGACAAAAAAAATTGCAACTTGAAAAAAAACTTGTCATGCTTCTTACTGAACACCTCAGACTGTCCAAGCATTTTAGGGCCTCAAGAAATAAGAGGCTGTCAGGATTTTATCAATTTCCAAATATATATACATGCAGCAGAATACATTTTGGCCTAAATTTATGAAGAAATTTTATTTTTTTTTTATTGGATAGGTTTTATAACAGAAAGTAGATAATATAATTTTTTTCAAAATTGCATTTGGGTATAGTGTTGCCACGCAATTGCCAGTTAAAAGTAGCACAGTGCCAAAAACAAAAAAATGGCCTGGCCATGAAGGGGGTAAAACCTTTCTAGAGCTCAAGTAGTGTCAATCTTCCGACTGGCCAAAAAAGTTCACCTTTTTATAGATTAAAACTGGCCATAAATGGATCAAAATTCAGCCAGTTCAGCAGGGACCAGACGAATTTTGATTAATCTATGGCCGTACCAGCTTGACAGAGTAGATCTAAGGAATGGAAATGATGGAAAATTTTCATTCGCTCAGCACATGCAGGCAATCAGTTGCAGTGCTTTCAGTCTATTCTGACAGTGAACTAACACTCAAATTAGAAAAAGGGTTTGAATATTAAATTAGTTTCTACATTATCAGTCTTCCAGGCTTCCAAGATAAAAAAAATGTGTAAAAAAAAAAAAAAAAAAAAAGAAGGATGTATTCAAATATCTCAGCAGCTTCACATAAAAAAAAATTTTGTTTAATCCATGCATGTCCTTCTGCAAATCTTCACTAAGGCTTTTTGGGGTATGGTAATTGTTTCAAATACAATAGCATGGAGACAAGGAGGGAGGAGAGAGGGTCCTATCAAACTGTAAATATAATGTGCTTCCATAGTTAAAGTGGTTGTAAAGGCTCAAGGTTTTATACCTGTATGTATTCTATGCATGAAGGTAAAAACCTTCTGTGTGCAGCAGTGCCCCATCAGCCCCCCCCAATCCTTACATATGCCCAGTCCAATCCAGCGACGTTCTTGGCAGCCTCTGCTGTCTGGGGCTTCTTCCTCCTCATTGGCTGAGACAGCAGCGGAAACCCATTAGCTGAGACAGCAGCAGCAGAAACCCATTGGCTCCTGCTGCTGTCAATCACAGCCAATGAGGAGAGAGCGCAGGGGGGCCGAGCCAAGGCTCTATGTGTCTTATGGATGCATAGGGCAGCGGCTCGGGGACGAACGTGCAGCAGTGCCCCAAGGGAGAATGGCTTTCCCTGGGGGCACTGCTTAAGAGGGAGGAGCCAGGAGCGCCGGGGGGACCCAAAAAGTAGAGAATAGGGGCTGCTCTGGGCAAAATGAATGCACAGAGCAGGTAAGTATGGACATGTTTGTTATTTGGACAAATCGAAGCTTTAGTGTCATTTTAACCTTAAAAAACTCAGTTTGCCATAAAGGAAACCTATCATGACACAAACATGAAAACTGCCATTGATGACTTCACAATTACCAGATGCTAGGCTTTGATTCTGGTCCTATGGCTTCCATACTTTGAGTGTGTGGGCTGGAGCCAGAACACAAATAACACTTTCCTGATCTGCATGCCTGTTCAAAGTCAGCAAATATTTTCTGAACAGGTCAATAATGGCAGCTACATATTTTTCACAGGAAAGTTTTAACTTAAAAGTGAGTTTTATGGTCCAAAAATATGATTCATCCACATATGTGTATGGCAGCATAGTGGCTAAGTGGTTAGCACTTCCGCCTAGCAGCAGTAGGGTTGCTGATTCAAGTACCAACCACGGCACTATCTGCCTGGAGTTTGCATGTTCTCCCTGTGCCTTTGTGAGTTTCCTCCGGGTACTCCAGCTTCTTCCCACACTCCAAATACATGCTGGTAGGTTAATTGGCTTCTGTCTAAATTGGCCCTAGTATGGGTATGTATGAATGTGAATAAGGGACCTTAGATTGTAAGCTCCTTGAGGGCAGGGACTTGTAAATGTGGATGTGAATGCCCTTCGTAAATTGACAGCTCTAAATAAATACCTGCAATAAAATAAGATAATTTGGGTATGTGTTAGTGTTACTAATCCCCCAACAGTAAAACCAGTCTGTATATGCAGTAAAGCATGTTTGTTATACTCACTGTGGAACCTAAGGGGTTATTCCTCTGCATTATGTAAAAAAGCTGTTTGATCCTGACTTCTCTGATCCTCCTCTTTTTCCAGTGTCCCCCTCCTATCTCCTGATAAGACATATGGCGTGTAGACACTCTGCACATACTCAGTTTTGTGTGTATTGCTAGGAGAGGTTTGTTTTTTTTCTTGGAAGAGTGCATCTGATTAGCACAGGGCCAATTATCACTGTCCAGAAAGAGGTCAGGAGTTTTGCATCCTTCGAGAGCAGAATGAAAACTCCTCCTACAAGCTTTAACCAATGCTTGACTGGACACTGATAGAAGTCACACGACTGCTCTAACTGCTGATTAGAAAAGGTATTTAGCAGTTTATATTTACTACAATAATTGCATTTCCATGTTCTGACCAGATATAGTGAATGCAGGGTCCTGGGTTTAGTAACATTTTAACCACTTCCAGTCAGGACACTTTTACCCCCTTCCTGTCCAGGCCAAATTTTCAGCTTTCAGTGCTATCACACATTTTTTGAGACAGATAAAGCTTTATTTTGGTGGTATTTATTCACCACTGGGAGTTTTATTTTTTTGCTATGTACATTAAAAAGTCAAAAAATTTTGAAAAAAAGTGTTTTTCTTATAAAATTTTGCAAATAAATAGTATTTCATCATAAATCTTGGCCAAAATTTATTCCGTTATAGTTTTAGTAAAAAAAAAAAAATCCCAAATTAGTTTATAACCAAAAATTATAATTTTTAAACTTTTTTTTTTTTACTTTTTAATTTTTTTTTTTATATATTTTTTTTTTTTTTTTTTTTTTTTTTTTTTTTTTTTACATACTGTCACCCTAGCAGTACACCATGTGTCACCATGGTGACACTGTACTACTTGTGGGGGGTGATGAAGATTTTTTATTTTTTTTTATATTGGATTGCTTTTACACCCATAAAGGATGTAAAAGCAATCATTTCTCTTTCTCTCTGTCTGCATTCTTACACTCATTGAGATCTACTGAGTGAGCTGTGATTGGTCACAGCTTGTCACATGGTACAAGGCTGTTGTGAATAACCTTGTACCATGTGACCTCTGTGATCATTCACAGATTTCACACGTAGTAGCAATGATGTCACAGGTGACATCTTGCTTACTACTCTGCATGTGATCACTGTTTGGCCAATCAGTGATAACATGATCGGGAACTCGTACAGAGGTCCCGTCTGACGATCAGTGTTTCACTGTGTCCGGAGGACACAGCGGGCTCCGGATCGTGGTGCTGCGCACTCCCAGAGAGTGCACACAAGCAGGGGGCGGGGAGACCATTTATAAACGGCCACCCGACCCCGCACTGCCACCATTCGGCCGTTTATATACAACGGCCGGACGGGAGGTGGTTTAAGCATTACTTACATTGCCAAAGTATTTATCAAGCAGCTCTACAAGTCGATGGACAGTCTCCAGTGTCAGCAACTCATTGTCATGATCCTCTATGGCACAGCAGAAGTACAGGCTGGCATACCTACAAACAGAGAAGACAAGAAGTCATAAATGATACAGTAAAACCACTTAAGGGCTGTTGGTTAGCCTTTTAAAGCTGTGTAATGGTCTGTTCCCATACATTACTATACAATGGAAATGTATTTGACTATTTATGGGGAAGACTCAGCATTGGCCATGACCATTCAGGTGGTTTATTCATGGTCGTATCCTTCTCTTCTTGTCATATATTCAAGCAGTCTTTAGAAATTTGTACCACACAGCACATTTTTTGAAGAACAAAGGTTTTCTCTGTGATAACCGTTCATGAACACAGCTTAGCGTTTTTCTTATAGTAGACTCATTTAATACGAATATTATGAAGTGTAAGAGCTTACAGCACATCCTTAGTTGTTACTCTGGAGTTGTCACTTGTTTTAGAAACGCATTCTTCACCTACGATCAGTAACAAGACCCAAATCTTTAAAAATCATTTTTTGTCATCCTTTTCAGGTTTATGCTCTTCAACTAAAGAGAAATATCTCTTGATCAAGCCACATTGCCCATCCGCGATTGTGAAAAATTATGGATAATATACACTGTTATTGACATACGAACCTGTAGAGGGATGGGCTTATGTTGCTTTATGGTTGTTTAACCGCTTTGCCTCTCACACTTCACACCCTATGGACCACATCAATTTTTACATTCCTGCTATGGACCTGTTTATTCGGCAATAACTTTGTCATTATTTTTCAAAGGATAAGGACAATGCTTTCTTTTCATGATATTGTCTTCCAACAATGCTTTTTTTTTTTCTTGCAATCCACACACTATAAAACACAATGTAACTAAACAAAACACACTCATTTTTTGAGCAGTGTTTGAAAATAAATAGTGTTACTGCACATAAAATCTGTGCATTTTATTTTGTAATTTGTATTTTAATTTAGCATTTTTCTTTTTATGCAAAAAGTGTTAAATGTGTAAAAATATTAACAAACAAAACAAAAAAAAGTTTAGTTAATAGGTAATAAATTAGAAAGAAATCTGCAAGAAGATAATAGTTTTAAGAGAAGAGACAAAATGAGTTTCATTAGGGCTGATTAGAAAAATCTAAGTGTTAATAAGGGGATACACAGAGGAACATTTTATTTAACAAATAAATAAATAACATTTTCTTAATGTTTTTTTTTTTTTTTTTTTACTTGTCAGGTTGCTTTAACCACTTGCCCTCCAAATGATTTACCCCCCTTCCTGGCCAGGCCATTTTTTGCGATATAGCGCTGCGCTACTTTAACTGACAATTGCGCAATCATGCAACGCTGCACCCATATGAAATTTATGTCCTTTTTTCCCCCCACAAATGGAGCTTTCTTTCAGTGGTATTTGATCACCTCTGCGGTTTTTATTTTTTGCACTATAAACAAAAAAGACCAGCAATTTTGAGGAAAAAAAAAACAATTTTTTTGACTTTTTGCTATTGAGCATGTCCAGTAAAACAAACAAAAAAAATTCATCATAAATTTAGGCCAAAATGTACTGTGCTACATGTCTTTGCTAAAAAAAAAATCCCAATATGTGTAAATTAATTGGTTTATGTGAAAGTTATAACGTCTACAAATGGCGATATATATATACTGGAATTTTTATTTTTTTTATACTAGTAATGGTGGCGATCAGCAACTTATAGCGGGACTGCGGCCAGCATTCTGACACTGGGGGGAACTAATTAACGGCCCCTGGCATCCCCAGTGACACTAATACAGTGATACTCCTAGATTGTAAGCTCGAAAGAGTGGGGCCCTCGAACCCCTCGTGTATCACATTGTATTGTTATTGTACTGTCGAATGTACTGTCTCCGTTTGTAATGTACAGCGCTGAGCGAACTATTGGCGCTTTATAAATACTGTATAATAATAATAATCAGTGCTAATAAAAAGCGCTGACACTGTACTAATGGCACTGGGCAGGAAGGGGTTAGCATCTGGGGTGATCAAAGGGTTAACTGTGTGCTGTGTGTGTTCTAGTGTGTGCTGTGTAAGCATGCTGCTTTGTATTGCTCTGTATAGCAAAGCAATACAAAGCAGCGTGCTGGAGCTGACAGGGGAGAAATCTGTATTGTTTACATACACACCTCTCCCCCGTCAGTGTTACTCGGCGATCATCAGGTGCCGACAGGGAATCTCCGGCCGGGACCCGGTGATAGACACCAGTAGCCGCCAATGGTGGCACAGGTAAGGTGCACGTGCACCCATTACCCAGGAATACAAAATCACGTATATATACACACATGATTTTGCACAGCCCTGCCGCAGTAGTTCTGCTATAGGGCAGTCAGAAGTCGTTAACTGACATAATTTGCAGATCTAAGTTTATCCCTTTGATCTGCAGATGAGTGAATAGAATGATACAAGTAACAATATGTTATGCTGTATCTCTGTAAATCGGTCTGGAGCAGTGTTTCTCAGCCTTTTTTCAGCCAATGCACACTTTACAATTAGGGACAATGTTGGGGCATCCCATTCAAAAATGTAAAAAACGAAACTAATAGTTTTTACACAATGCAGCAAACACACACACGTAGGACACCCAACGTTAAAGTCAATTTATTCTTACCAAGCAAGTGCACCTTTGCACACTGCAACTGACTAGTATTCCAGGGTTCCTCTTCTACCTCAATTTCTCCCTCTCTTGCTCATTCAGCTAATGTGATCCTGGTGCTGATGGAGAGAGGGAAAACAGGCCACCTCCTTATCAACTGATATCATTGGCTGTTAGGATGCCTGAAGCTGAAAAGGTTATAATGGTGCACAACAGGGTGGATTTGATTTAAATCAAACTGTTTTAAATCACGATTTAAATCACTAGTCAGTAAGGCTTGATTTAAATCCTAGTTTTCTACATAAAGGCTGATTCTTTCTGGTATAACTTTAATATGCAAGTAGATGAAGATTTTTAGAATAACAACTTTTCATATTAGTTTTTTTTTCCCCAGTTTAATAGGTTAATCATTCATATTTGGACAACTTTTCTGTTGTATTTAGGAAGGAGAAAAATAATCTTTACCTTAATAACAACAATTTAAATAGATTTATTCATCTGAAACAATAACATTACAGCATATGTTATTTGCTTAAACAAACATCCATGTTTGTTAACTAATTTGGCTAAACAAAATATATATATTTTAAGAAACTTAGACTGTCAGCCCCTTCCTCCTCACACTTAGTTTCACTTTCTTCTTGTACAGATCTATTCCACTCCAAACAATCAGAAAAATATTGTTTCTATTCTATTCACTGAACTTCTTGAAACTTAGCACCGAAGGGGTTTATTCTGTATTCATAGGATTGTAGAAGTTAGGATTAAGGTCTTTTTCTTAACTCTGTTCATGTTATAACATTTTTGCTGTGAAGAAGAGGCATGTGATCTCCGCTGAGTCAAATTCAGTTTTGAGAACTGCAAAAGTAAACCAAGCATCTGTGATAATATCTTGTAGGCAGAGAAACTGCCCAATAATCTTACAAAAACCTCTGGAAGAGCATGACATTGTGAATGGATTCATGGAATTTATTTACCAAAACAATTAAACATATACAGGCTTATTCTACATAATTAAAAAACTAATCTTTATTTCATGATGGAATAACCTTTGGATGGTAATATATTTTCCTCAAAAAAGCATTTTATTTAAAAAAAATCCGATTTAAATAAAAAAAAAAATCTGATTTAAAAAAAAAAAATCCGATTTAAGTAAAAAAAAATCTGATTTTTTTGATTTTTTAAAAAAAAAATCATTGATTTTTATCCAACCTGGTGCACAATGAAAACCTGTGGCTTTGTGTAACTAAAAGAAAGGCTTGATCCATCTGCTGGCTTGTATACAATTTTTGTGAAATTTTTAGACATTTTGCCTGGGCACCCTCATTGAAAAAGGCTTGCCTAGAGCAGTGTTTATAAAAACTGATGCAGACTGATTTTTTTAAGAGCTACAGCTGCCGACACCTTCTCTGAGTATATAACAATGCAGGCTTTGATTAAATAAAAGCAGACAATTATTGTATACTGGGAGGTGGAAGAGTCCCAAAAGTAGGGCAGAGAGACTGGACATGCTACACATGCCCTATGTACAATGATGACGTTTTTTTGAGCATGTGCAGCACGCCCAAAGTCTGCAGCTGGTTAAATTAAGAAAATATGGAAATGATGGCACATGTGTTTGTTAAATAAGACTATATTTTTAGATGAAGTCAATATCACTTCTTAGCAGCAATCCAGAAAGGGGTTCACAAAACATTTCATGTGAAAAAGTAGATACTATAAAACTACCAAAAATTTAAAAGGATAATTGAACTGGCAGGACAAACTTAGTATTATGAACGTGTGCTGTTCCCAGAAAAAGGAATGAGAGACAGACAGACATTCTCGAGAAAAACCTGTTTGTGACATTTAGATGGAAACACAAGTACTGACAGAAACTTTTTATACTTTCACTTTCAATTACCTTACTGAAAAGTAAGGGGTTTATTTACTAAAGCTGGAGCTGGTTTATTTACTTCTGTATAGAAACCAATCAGCTTCCAGATTTTATTGACAAAGCTTAACTGAACAAGCTGAGATTAGAAGCGGATTGGTTTCTATGCAGAAGTAAGCCTAATTTTGCACTCTCCAGCTTTAGTAAATAAACCCCTAAAGTTCAACTAGGAGACGTTTTGAGTGGAATCACAGACAGTTGATTTACTAAAGAGAAGAGTGTAGAGTACATCCACTTTGCAAATTCTTTTTTTGTTGAATGTGTTAGAAATTCTAATTGCACAGAATACCCATTTATGTGCAAAGAAAATGGAAAAAAAAAATCCCTCCCCCCCAAAAAATAAAAATTGAACATGATTGGATGATTTAAGTCAGCAGAGCTTCACCTTATTCGCCAAGCCCAATTAAATTTCCCTTGCAATTTACAGACACAAATAACTTTCAATGAACCTTTTTTGGGGGTGGTGCATTAGTTTTCAGTTTGTGAAATTTGCTGTACTGGACTTAGGAGGCCAAAAGCAGTGTACTGTTATGAAATGATTCAGGGTTTTAATCATCAGATGTTAAAGTAATTTAGAGGGGTTATGTAGTAATTATACATTTAATATATTCAGATGTGGGCACCTTTTCTTGTTGGAGAATGTAGGTGAAATCATGCCATGGAAAGCTATATCTGCGCAAAAATCAATGGGAAGAACATCTTTAAAATATGACTTAATTGCCTTTGGACAAATATCTCCATATTAAAACTTCTAAATAGTACTGATTTACCTGATACAGCATCAGTTCTTAAACATGCCTACCAGTTCCAGAGGCATGTATCAGTCTGTACTGGCTTCAACTCCATGTACTTGCACTGATTGCTGAAAAGCCTACTTCAGCATCTGATTGAAGTATCACAGATCACCAGCTTGGTACCCACATAAAAGAATGAGGAAATATATCTTCACTTCCTGCCTTTAGTCATGCAATGAAAAGGTCACATAACAAAGATCTGAGGTCTGAACAGGGGCAGCAAATCGGAGGTCTAAAGAAGGGCTTGAACCAAGACTGCAATTTGTGGTAGGGGGCCAATCTGAGGTTTTGAAGTATTTGGCCTGAGTGTGAACTGACTGTCAGTCACCCAACTGGGGTGGAAAGTTCAGCTGTACAGTGTAATCAAGTTCTTTAATTTAGTAGTAGTAGTTGCTATTTATGAAATACATATGCCCAATAATAGGGCAGGGGAAGCACTGGGCAAGGTGTACCCATTTTTCTCTTCAAAATGCTGGTGGGTATGCAATATTAAAGAGACAGTCCATCTTAAACAGATATTTCCCTTTTTGTGGAAGGATATTGACTGCTTCTATGTCATAAAGATTTCATCAGCAAGATGTTTTCGTCAAAGCTAGCGATTACGTTTTATATTGGAGTCCTTTTCAAAAAGGATCTGCATCACCAAACTAAACAAAGATGGCCCTAGTCCTACCATGTATCTGAGTTATCTGATCCAACAGGTTTAAGGGGAGAACTCAAAACCCAAGTTGGGTTTAACACTACTGAAACACTTTGTGCTTTGCTAAATCAGTTTTGTAAAATAGCAGCTTAACCAAATGTTTGACCTTGCTCTATAACTTGCATCATGATGATTTGCTTTTAAAAAGTCTCCTACTTACGTTTTTTTTTTTATATAATGCATGGCAGTGAAGGGCAGTCTATAATGGAATCCTTTTGTAGAGCAGCAAGTCCACTGGTAGAATTTTAGAGTGCAGGAACATGAGCAAGGCCTTAGAGCAGGGGAAGGCAACCTCAGCTATCCTACTGCAGCGAAACTACAAATCCCATCATGTCTCCGCCTCAGTGAGTTATGCTTGTGGCTGTTAGAGTCTTGCAAAGCCTCATGGGACTTGTAGTTCCACAACAGCCGGAGTGCCAAGGTTGCCTATCCCTATCTTAAAGAAACTGCACTCTAAGAACCAAACAGTAAATGTGGAATACATTTTTTAATGCTTTATGCAAGTAGAGGTGACCAGCATAGAGAAAAGAAGACCCGAAACATTACCTCTTGTACACAAGTTTAAGATCCTTCCAATCTACAAAGCTACTTGTCTTGGGATTTCGGGTAAGAATGATGTGCATCAGTTCCCGTGTTATCTTGCGCTTCTCCTTCTCAGGCAGTGTGACATACCATTTCTGCAGTCGCAACTTCCCTTGTCGGCTGAACAGCAGGAGAAATCGAATCTGCAGGGGAGGCCAAAGAAATAGTATGAGTATAAATGTGAGCCATAAGACAGACCACACATTTCTTATTCAGTACAGAGGTTTGATATAACCAAGGTCTCTTATCACACATTTAGTTACATGAGAGAGAGAGAAAGGAGGAGAGAGAGAGAGAGAAAGGATGAGAGAGAGAGAGAGAGAAAGGAGGAGAGCGAGAGAGAGAAAGAAGGAGAGCGAGAGAGAGAGAGAGAGAAAGGAGGAGAGAGAGAGAAAGGAGGAGAGGGAGAGAAAGGAGGAGAGGGAGAGAAAGGAGGAGAGGGAGAGAAAGGAGGAGAGGGAGAGAAAGGAGGAGAGGGAGAGAGAGAGAAAGACGAGAGAGAGAGAAGAGGGAAGGGAGAGAGAGGGAAAAGAGGGGGGAGAGAAAAGGGGGGGAGAAAGGGGGGGGGAGAGAGAAAGGGGGGAGAGAAAAGAGGGGAGAGAGAGAAAAGAGGGGGGAGAGAGAAAAGAGGGGGGAGAGAGAAAAGAGGGGGGAGAGAGAAAAGAGGGGAGAGAGAGAGAAAAGAGGGGAGAGAGAGAGAAAAGGGCGGGAGAAAAGAGGAGAGAGGGAGAGAGAAAAGAGGAGAGAGAGAAAAGAGGAACGGAGAGAGAGAGAAAAGAGGAGAGAGGGAGAGAGAAAAGAGGAGAGAGAGAAAAGAGGAACGGAGAGAGAGAGAAAAGAGGAACAGATGTGGGAGAGAAAAGAGGCGAGAGAGAGGGGGGGGAAGAGGGGGAGAGAGAGGGGGGGGATGGAAGAGGGGGAGAGAAAAGAAGGGGAGGGGGGGAGAGAGAAAAAGTGGGGAGAGAAAGAGGGAGAGAGAGAGAGAGAAAAGAGGCGAGGAGAGAGAGAGAGAAAAGAGGAGAGGTCTGAGAGAGAAAAGAGGAGAGAGAGAGAGAAAAGAGGAGAGAGAGAGAGAGAAAGAGGAGGAGAGAGAGAGAGAGAAAAGAGGAGAGAGAGAGAGAGAAAAGAGGAGAGAGAGAGAGAGAAAGAGGAGAGAGAGAGAGAAGAGAGAGAGAGAGAGAGAAAAGAGGGAGAGAGAGAGAGAGAGAGAAAAGAGGGAGAGAGAGAGAGAGAAAGAGGAGAGAGAGAAAGAGGAGAGAGGAAGAGAGAGAGAAAAGAGGGGAGTGGAAGAGAGAAAAAAAGAGGGGGGAGAGAGAGAAAAAGAGGGGGGAGAGAGAGAGAAGAGGGGGGGGGAAGAGGGGGGGAAGGGGGGAGGGAGAAAAAGGGGGTTGAGAGAGAGAGAAAGGGGGAGAGAGAGAGAGAAAAAAAAGAGGGTGGGAGGGAAGAAAAGAGGGGGAGAGAGAAAGAAGTGGGGAGAGAGAAAAAGTGGGGAGAGGAAAAGAGAGAAAAAAGAGGGGAGAGGAAGAGAGAGAAAAGAGGAGAGAGGAAGAGAGAGAGAAAAGAGGGGGGTGAGGAAGAGAGAGAGAAAAGAGGGGTGAGGAAGAGAGAGAAAAGAGGGGAGGGGGAAGAGAGAGAAAAGAGGGGGGGGGGGAAGAGAGAGAGAGAAAAGAGGGGAGGGGAAAGAGAGAGAAAAGAGGGGAGGGGAAGAGAGAGAGAAAAGAGGGGGGGGGAAGAGAGAGAAAAAGAGGGCAGAGGAAGAGAGAGAAAAAAGGAGTGGAGAGAGAAAAGAGGGGGAGGGAGAGAGAGGAAAAGGGGGGGAGGGAGAGAGAGAAAAGAGGAGGAGAGGAGGGGGTGAGAAAAGAGGAAGGAGGGGAGGAGGATGTTTCGTTCCTTCGCATCTCCCCCTCGTGGAGAGAGAGAGGGGGGGGGGGGGGGGCCTTGAGGGAGAAGGGGAGAAGAGGAGGGAGAGAGGACGAGGGGGGGGGGGGGGGAGGAAGAAGTGGGGCTCTCCCCCCAGAGAGAAGGAGGGGGGGGGAGAAGAAGGGGGGGGTGAGAGAGGAAGAGGGGGAGAGAGAGAAGAAAGGGGGGGGGGAGAGATTCTCTCTCCTTTCTTGAGAGAAGAGGGGGGGGGGGAGAGAGGTTTTTCTTCTCTGAGGGGGAGAGAGAGAAGAGGGGGAGAGAGAGAAGAGGGGGGGAGTCCTCGAGAAAGAGGAAGGGGGGGGGAGAGAGAGAGAGGGGGGGAGAGAGAAGAGGGGGAGAGAGAGAAGAGGGGGGAGAGAAGAGAGGGGGGGAGAGAAGGATGAGAGGGGGGAGGAGAGAGAGAGAGAGGGAGAGGCAGAGATTTGTTTCTCCGTCAACTGAGAGAAGAGGGGAATAGATGATGTCAATAATCTCCCCATTGGTGCATTTCAGAGAGAAACTGGAGTCAAGTCTGAGAGAGAAACTTTTTCCTCTAGCCTTTTCTCTCATTCAGATAAATGAGGGTTCTCCCAGGTCTCCCCATGGTGAATTTCAGATAGTAGTGTTACTCTATTTTGTTCTAGCCAACTGAAACAGATGAGAAAATTCTAACCTGTCTCCCCCATTGCCCCGACACTTGTCTGCTGCCATCTGCTGCACGCTCAACTGTCATTCACGCTGAATACAAGGAATTATAAAACATTTCCTAAATAGAAAACCCCAACTGTGTTGATTTATTCTCCAGAGGGACAACTGAAACTCAGATGGAGGGCTTCTAACTGTGTTTAAACAAGTTATTGACCATCCGACACTTGTCTGCAATATACTGCTTACTGTAATAGGGAATACAAGGATTATTTAAAAAAACAACACCACTGGGTGATGTTTTTCTAAAATTAGTAATAACTGTATTTATCACTAAGGTTAACAAAAATACATGCAAAAAGTGAAATAGATTTATCAAGCTTATCATTATTTAAAAAAACAACAACACTAAAAATGCACAAAACATTCACTAAGTTCATTACATGCAAGTGAATAAAACACTGTCCTTCAAAAATGCATGCACAAGGTGTAAAAAGGAGGACAAAAAGAAAAACAATGATGCTAAAAAGACAAACCTCAACTGGAGAAAACATTTAGATTGCTAAAGCACTGTGTATCAAACATATGCCACATTTTTATTTTCATAAAATACTGCTTTCGCATTGTTTTTCATTCCTTGTGGCATCTCATTGTTGCTAATCTCCTCCAGCCTCTTTTAGCCACTTCCTTCTTAAATGTAATTGCTCCACCATTCACTACACATCAGTGGTCTGGACTAGTTTCCTGATCAAGACAACGGTGGACCACACTTAAAAAGAAGTTTTAGGGTTTTTTTTTTAGAAATTATATATTTCAGAAGGTTTTGCGGCATCAGCCCGATGAGCATCTCAGAAGGTGGATGCGGCATCAGCCCGATGCTGCATCTGTCCCCTTCCGGCTCTAACACTGAGAACGGAGTGATCAAAGACCGCTGATCACTCAGTTCTCAGTGAGAAGAGAGCTGGTGACAGTAAGTCACCGCTCTCTGCTCTGCCCCCCCCCCAAGGTCTCACTGAAGTACCGGGCCGTGGAGGGGACGGGAGCGACTTGCTCATGCTCTCAGTGGATCGCTGAGAAGCTGAGCCAGGTTCTGGTTCAGGGATCTGGGTGGATCATGACTTTAAAGTCGGGATCTTTCCCCAGTCTGGATCGATTGAGTGACATCAGCCGACAGCAGATTTCAGCCCACTGTCGACTGAAAATGGGTCACAGGAGTGCAGAACAAACTGCGCTCCTATGATCCACAGATGTTTGGCTGTACTTATCCTTTAAGCAATGTGCTTTGGCAAGGCTGCATGTAGTCTCCACCAAGGGTGCATAGTATATGGTAACAATGGAGAAGTACAGTTGTGAGACAGTTGTTACACTATAAACACAAGTACTTGAACAAGGACCTTCATGGCAGGACTGCCAAGTATTATTTTAACAGAATTATTTTTGAAATTGCATTAACATGGTTGGGATTATAAGGATTTTAGTGATTGGGTTTACATATACTTTAAATCAGGAGTCACATGTAGTTATGCAGGGAACATTGATCGAACCCCTCGTGTATTTTATTGTTACTGTACTTTCTCGTGTACTGTCTCCCATTATAATGTACAGCGCTGAGAAAACTGTTGGCGCTATATAAATATTGTATAATAATAATATGGGTGGATGCTGGTAGTCCAAATCCCTCTTCGAACGGTTTTATCCCTTGTTCTCCACCACCTGAGTTGCCCCATCACAAAAGGTCTCCTCCCCTGAGATAGGAATTACTATGGGCTGTGTAGGCTTTAAAGCAGGCTCATATAGATGGGCATTGTCAGATGCTGCTATTTGCACTCCAACATAGCACTGCTCAAACAAATACATGGACACACAAAAAAGTAGCAAGAGGTGGCATTTGACCTGCTTAGCCTGCTGTACAACACATGTCAATAGACCTGCTACACACAAAAACCTCAATGAAAGAAGATTCAATGCAACCCTATCCACACTACACCTTGAAATAAACGGTAACATGCTACAAAAGTACAGTTTTTCTGCTATGGGTTGTTTTCCAGCATTTGACTTACCAACTCTGCCACAGACCAATGCATCTTTGCAAAAGTGGAGATACAGCAGGTAAAATAAGTATTGAACACGTCATCATTTTTCTCTGTAAATATATTTCTAAAGGTGCTGTTGACATGAAAAGCTCACCACGTCGGTAACATCCCATGCTGTGCAAACGTACAAAGAAACCAAAACAAATAAAGTTCAGAAATTAAGTTATGTGTAATAAAATGGAATGACACAGGGAAAAAGTATTGAACACATGAACAAAAGGGAGGTGCAAAAAAGGCATGGAAAGCCAAGACACCAGCTGAAATCTATCAGTAATTAGAAATCAATCCCGCCCCCCTAGTCAGTGCAAATTAATAGCAGCTAGTCCGGTCTCAACTGATGGCCTATAAAAAGGTGTCTCTTTACAAATGTGTCACACAAGAATGAGAAAAGCAAAGAGCTTTCTCAAAACCTTTGCAACCTTATTGCTGCATAACATACTGATGGCATTGGTTACAGGAGGATTCCTAAACTTCTGAATGTTCCAGTGAGCACTGTTGGGGCCATAATC